TGAGAAATCCTTCTTGCCGAGGAATCTTGCTTGAACTCTTCAATTAAGTTTAACTGTGTTTATTCACTGTCTTTTTTCTTTAATAAAACTGAATTTTTGGTTAGATTGATGATGCAAGAGAGAAAATATATTCTGTAAAACAAATGTTTTTTCATGCATTTATTTTAGTTGTATTTTATTTGGTTGTGTTTTGATTTAATCCTGCAAATAGATGCTCTTGACAGCTGATACTGGAACTTTCTCTGTTCCCTTTTGCAGTCGGATGTGGACAATGACCTGGTTGGAGATTCCTGTGATACCAATCAGGACAGGTATGCTGTGAGAGAGGCTAGTCCTGAGCTGAAGCGTGCTGCTGATTCCTGGAGAGCTGTAATCCCTCCAGCTAGCCTGGATTTAATTCCTGAGAGATGTTATTTCAAGAACAGTGTTAGGATTTATTAGCCTTGTTTTTTCACTCCCCTGTGGTAGTACACTTACGGAGCCTTCACCCCTACAGCCATTCACACAGGCTTCCTCTGAGTTCCTGTGGAAGTGATGTTCAAGCAGTTCTCTGGCTGTAAAACCCAGAGCACTGCTCAGAGCTTCTTAGTGAGAAAATATCTTTCCTTTTTTGCTTTATTTTCCATTCCTCTTTTATTTCTCTTATTCCTTAGCAGAAATCTCACAGTTAAGGGCTCTATGAATTTCCTTAAGAACCTAGTGTTGCAGAAACAAAATTCTATTATCAAGCATAAAACACTCGCAGAGCAACCCCTTTGCTTTAGCACAGCAAGACTGGCAAGGATCCTCTGTCTATGGCTTTCATATGCCTTGGGCATTCACAGGAGCACATCCCATGAGAAATTGCATCACTTCTCTGGAAGCAGCTTCTGCATAACCAGCTTAAGGGATGGCAGGTTCTCCCATGTGCACCTTACTTACAGCAAGAGGCAAGGAAAATTATAAATCCTGTGCTGTCACAGCATTTCATCAGCCACAGACAGCTGCAGGGTTTCACCCCAGGGCCATTGGTGGGTGCTGCTCTCAGTGAAGAGACCTGCAGGGAGCCCACTTACATGTCTCTGCAGGGATCATTCCCAATCTTGAGCCACTAGCTGCCAAGGCCATCAGCATTTTACTCTTAAGTTGATATGTCTTTGTTCTTTTTCTTGTTTTAAAAAAGGACTTCCCCCCCCCCCGCCATAAACTTCACTAATGTGTGTGAAGCATTTCCTGTGTGAAGCATGCTTAACCTTGCAGTAGATACACATGGATGGTGCTTATTGCATTTTATCTCAATTATTGTGCAAACATTGATTACTCTGACCTAAAATTAAAGCACATTTCTTAAGCAGGGAGAGGTATTTGGGAATATTTCTGCCTATAAGCCATAGCATGATTTTAATTTGGCTGCAGATCATTTCTGCTCCACTTGTGCTAATAAGAAGCTACTGTGGGAAAACATGCCTGCTAATTACTAGAAAGCAATTTGGTTTTGGTGTGACTACAAAACACATCATACTTCCAGCAGTTTTTTTTTTTCAGGGATGCATTTAAGAGTTGGGATGGAGAAGTTATGTAGTCACCCCATAATTTCTTGAACCCTCTTCTGTGGTGTGTGTGTCCCTCTGCCTGGTGGCTCTTCCCTGTAACCAGCCATGACCTGGAAGGAGCTACCGACTTTCTCCTCTATTTCTTACTGTATGTTCCCCCTGCAGGATGCAATCATTCAGTGTGGAAAACACCTTCAAGACCATTGAGTCCAAGCACTAAAGCAGCAGTGCCAAGTCCACCACAAAAAACTTGCTATGCAGGAGGGTGAGAACAGTGCTTGTTTTTAACTAAGTCTGATTTCAGGTGCTCATGTAGAGTCTCTCATAAAGCTTCTTTCACACTTACACCTGTATGTTTATGAGCACCAAGGCACATGCCCACATAAGACAAGGGACACAAGGTGTCCAGCTCTTGCTGTCTCCTGAGTCCCTCTTGATTGCTGACACTGCACTTGTTGGATGTGCCTTACACACCCTTTAGGAGTGGACCTTGACTGGGATCTTGGGCCCCAGTGTGTTTCCCACACCATGTAAAGCTTATTTTTCTTTTCCCTGAGTATTTTTTTAGCTCCTGGCTTGGAACTTTTTTTAGTTCCTGGTTCCTTTGCTTTCCTGCCACCATATCTTACCTGAGTCTCTTTGTTCCTGCTCTCCTTGCAGTTCAGCCACCTGAGCAACAACAGGTTGTGTTGCCCACTGGTCTGCTTCCAGCTCCAGAGCTGCCACTGCTGTGTTTCCTCCTCAGGTGTCCGTGCTGTTCCCTGTGCAAAGGCAGGAGCTGATGCTGGCATACCATTTCTTTTTTGTTTTTGTGCTTGCAGCGATGGTGATGGGCACCAGGACAGCACAGACAACTGCCCCACTGTTATTAACAGCTCCCAGCTGGACACAGATAAGGATGGGCTGGGTGATGAGTGTGATGAGGATGATGATAATGATGGCATTCCTGACCTCTTGCCCCCGGGCCCTGACAACTGCAGGCTGGTCCCCAACCCAGGGCAGGAAGATGATAATGGTAAGATGGGCCTTAAGGAGCCACTTTGATTCTCAGGCACCGCATTTATCTCCAGACTGTGTGCACCAGGATGCAACACTGTCATTACCAATGCATACACTCATCTCAGGAACAACAGCAGCACTCAGGAGCCCTTTAGCCAAAACAGAGGCACTTTCTCATGCACTACAGCCATAGGGCTGATGCCCTGCCTGCTTCTTGGACACCCTAATCCCATGGTTGGGGCAGATGTGAATACTTGCTGCACCATAAATCTGCTTTTGCTTCTCTGATGCATTCAGGTGATGGAGTTGGCGATGTCTGTGAGTCTGATTTTGACCAGGATACAGTGATTGATCGGATTGATGTCTGCCCTGAGAATGCAGAGATCACCTTGACAGACTTCAGGGCCTATCAGACAGTGGTGTTGGACCCAGAGGGGGATGCGCAGATTGATCCCAACTGGGTGGTTCTCAACCAGGTAAAAATACACTTGGTCTTTGTTACCTGTCTGAGAAAGATCATTTGAATACCACAATAAAATTAGCTCTGTAATTGCTGGACCTCTGGCAGACATGAAAAGTGGAAGGTGTTGGTTAGAATATTTTCAGGAGCAATAATGAAGGATTTTTCCTTTAGATAGTGTTCAAGCTATCAAAATTGATGCTCCTAATAATCTAAACCAGCTACATGCTGGCCATCTTTTTCTGGGTGGGTTTCACTGCTGCCAGAAGGCAGACATGTGTTACCCTGTTGAAATATTTCTGTAGCAAACAAGTTTCATTAATCCTTTCCATAATTTAAAAGTCTGATGTGCTAAATAACAGAGGATTTCATAGAATAATGGAATGATTTGGGTTGAAAGAGACCTCAAAGTTCATCTCATTCCAACCCCAACCTGCCATGAGCAGGGACACACATCACTAGACCAGGTTTCTGGGAGCTCCAGCCCACCTTGGAACACTTAGAGGTTTGGAGCATCTCTGGGCAACCTGTTCCAGTGCCTTACAATCCTCACAGTAGAATTTTTTTCCCTCGTACTTCATCTAAACCTGCTTGCTCTTTGAATCCATTGCCCCTTGTCCTGTCACTGCATGCTCTTGGTAAAACAAGATCTTTCTCCATCTTTCTCATAGGCTCCCTTCAAGGCCACAATTAGGTCACCCCAAAGCCTTCTCTTTTCCACACTGAAAATTCCCAATTCTCTCAGCCCATCTTCATAGGAGAGGTGCTCCATCCCTCTGATTGTCTTTGTGGCTTCCTCTGGACTGGTTCCAACAGGTCCACATCCCTCTGCTGGGACCCCAGAACTGGATGCAGCACTCCAGTACTCCTAGATGGAGTCCAGTAACTTATTTAAACTAACAAATTTTAGCCTTCATGAGGCTAGTGTGCTATGAGTCACAAGGAACATGCAGTTTTTTCCCATTGCAAAAGTCTCTGCCAAGCCAGCTGGGATGTACACATCTTCCTTAACACAGTCCTGGCAGTCAGTTTAATCCTGAACTCTGTGATCCAACTGTATGAGCTAAGCCTAGGAAAAGCGCTCTTCCTCCCACAACCCTCTTCCCCTGCACTCCAGTTTTGGCCAGATTCAGATTTCCAGAAGATTGTGGTATGGAAAGAAAGTATCAAAATACCAGTATGACTAATTCTGCACTAGGAAAGCTAACAAATCATTCCTGACTCAGGCTGTGCAAGCAGCTGAAACATTACTGTTTGATTATAGTTCACACCGATTTTAGTTCAGAGCTACAAGCATCAGAGATATGTTGTGAGCAAACAAAAGAGAGGAATGAAGAAGGTGATAGAGGGAGACCAGAAAACCAATGCAGCTTACCACACATGCTAACCACCCTGAATTTACTCTTACAGGGGATGGAAATTGTGCAGACCATGAACAGTGATCCTGGTCTTGCTGTTGGTATGTAGCCTCTTCTGAGATTCCAGTTTAACAGCAGAAAATGCTGAGAATACGAAGATGTGTTCTGCAGAATTGTTTTTAACTTGTCTGTACTCTTAGGTTACACAGCTTTTAACGGCGTTGACTTTGAGGGCACTTTTCATGTGAACACAGTGACAGATGACGACTATGCTGGCTTTATTTTTGGTTATCAAGACAGCTCTAGCTTTTATGTAGTAATGTGGAAACAGACGGAGCAGACGTACTGGCAAGCGACTCCCTTCCGAGCTGTTGCAGAGCCCGGCATTCAGCTAAAGGTACTGGTGGTGGCTCCTAGCTAAGGACATAGTGCTCACTGCAGCCTGGCTGTGCCATCTTGCCATGTGCTGGCCATGGGCTAGGTCATCATGCCATGCATAAGCCAAGCCACTGCACTGCATGTCAGCTGTGCTGCCCGACTGCTGTTCTCTATTGGCAACTGCTGTCAAAATGGTCAAGTCAGGCAGCTGCCACACAGCCCTTTTAATAGCACTGTTTTTTAAGGAACTTAATCTTGCCTTTCTGATCAGCTGGAGCATTTAGTCTCTGCAGCAATTGTGCTCTGACCCTGACTGGTCAGGTTGCCTTGTTTTCCTTTGTCCAGGTACCCAGCTGGTTGCTTTGTCCATGTAGGCAGTGGCTGTGGCTGTAGAAGAGACATTAGGGGCCTGTTAGTAGCAGACAGGATGCTTCTGCAGACCTGTTCCTCACTAAAAAAAAAAAAAAAAATCTTAGTTCCTGAAAGTGACTTTTCTCTGTGGTCAGTGTTGGAAAATTGTATTTTTGCAGGCTGTGAAATCCAAGACAGGTCCTGGCGAGCACCTCCGCAACTCTCTCTGGCACACAGGGGACACCAATGATCAGGTCAGGCTGCTGTGGAAGGACCCCCGAAATGTAGGGTGGAAAGACAAAGTCTCCTATCGCTGGTTCCTGCAGCACAGACCTCAGATTGGTTATATCAGGTAAGAGAGGAAAGGATAGTTAAGGTGAGTACAGCTACTGTAATTCCTCAATACCTGACTCAGATGATACCCTAAGAATCTGTATTATGTCTGGGCTTTGTACTGATGAAGGCTTATAACAAATTAGACTTCGGGAATTCAGCCTGCAGCTCTTTTCTTAGACAATTCCAAGTTAAACCTCTTTGTATGGACCGTATGTTTATTTTAACTTTTCTGGCTTTAATACCTTGTTTTCCAAGCTACTGCTGGCCACTGATCTGAAAAGCAATATATTTCAAATGTTCTTAATTTTAATATTTTAGAATATTTTTGTTGGAATAGGGATAGTTCATATATGTATTCTAGGATAGTAGAATAAAAGTTGTCCACTTAGAAGTTGTGATTCTAACAAACAGGTAATTATCCTCATGAGATAGATGTGATATTACTCAACATATAGTCAGAAAGTTTGTCAAAGCTTTGTAATGCATGTTATATATTCTTATTTTGGGCTTTTTTGGGAAAAAAAATAGTTAATATTTTAAAAATCACCATTCAGGATGAAACATTTTACCCTGTAACATCCAGCAGAGAAATCAGCAGGAATTATACTTGTAGATCAAGGCTGATGTTAAAATGCAAAATACTAACTGCCATGGCATGATGGGCTCAGGTCTTTCAACCTTATAATAGAACAGAAATATGGGTAAGTCAGCTTTTCTTCAAGAAAATCACCACCCTGCAGTTGAGGTGCAGTAACTTGATGGTGTAATTATTCCACTTTTCTAGTGCAGAGCATCATCTTCTGTGGTAATTGGAGTGAGCATGATTGACTTTTATGCTAAAATGGATTAGGAACATTTATACTGTCAATTATTGTGCCCCAGCCACGGGGCAGTAGCGAATTGATCTTGGATGGCAACGTACATTTAGACCAAGAAGTTAGTGAAGCTGCTGCATGAGCAAACATCTCCTATGGCTGCAGTCTCTCCAACCAGCCTAAGTAATGCTCCCTGTAAGTGGGAAAGGTAGCGCAGTCTGTGTCACAGAATCCTTTAAAACTAAAGGCAGCAGGCCTAAAGTGAGCCTCTGTCAGCTCTCTGTCTACTCCTGCTGTGGTTTGGTTAGGCCAGATGCCACAGACCACTGTGTGTCTAGCAATGGTCTTCTGAGGCTTCAAGGAAGTCACTTGAGCCGGTCTCTCCCATGGAAATTTGCAAGAACTCCTAACTGCAGTTCTGCAAATTCATTGTACAGATACTTTTGAACTGCCTCAGCAAAGCAGTAAATAAAATCAGAAACATACCAGGATTTGGGCTTTTCCCCTTATTTTATGAAAGGAACTTTTATTACTTTCACCATTTGCTCTTTTCTTGTATGCAGAAATGTACCAGCAGTATCCTCATCCAGAGCAGGCCCTCCAGGCTCATCTAGGGATTACAGGGTCCTCTAGGTCATTTACCCTGTATCCCATAGGCTGAGGACTTGATGTGGGCAGTGCTGCAACAAACAGCCCAGCTGGCTCCAGTGTGGTCCTGCTCAAGCCCTCAATACAGAGCACACACTGGGAAGCTGGTGGGGGCAGCTTTCACAGGGCTATTTGGGAATTTGCTGATGTGTTTTCTAACAAGAAGGTGCTAGATCAGCAAAACAGTTTCTGGAGTTAATAATATTCACATTTTTAAAGAAATATTACAGACAAGTTTAAGATCCTAATAGTTTCTTTGAAACTTTTCCTATTACCAAAAAAAAAAAAAAAAAAAAGAGTTCAGCTTCAAACTGTGCAAGACAATACCCATCTAGCCTTCTACAACTGATCTAGTCTGGTTCTCCTATCACTATTGACTGTGGAAAATTGCAAGAGCTAAAGTGCTCAGCTGGACTGACTATAGGAAAAAAAAAAAACATTCCAAAGCTTTTTTAGGATATATAGAAACCCCTCAAAAAACCTTCCCTTGTCTGGCTCTTGCCAGCATGCAGCATTGCTCCAGTTCCCAGTCAACACAAGAGCTACCTTAACTGCTTTTTCTCCCTTGGGCTGGATGGGAGGGATAGCATGTCGAAGAATAGAGTCTCCATGGATAACAACATCACTTTCAGGAATGTTGCAGCCTTAGAAAACACCTAATAGAGCTTCTGTTTGCTTTCATTAAGGGCAAGATTTTATGAAGGCTCTGACCTAGTGGCAGACTCTGGTGTAACTATAGACACCACGATGCGTGGAGGACGGCTTGGAGTTTTCTGCTTCTCTCAGGAAAACATTATTTGGTCCAACCTGAAATACCGCTGCAATGGTAATGTTGCTCTGAGGCCACTTTAGCTAACAACTAGCAAGTGACAATGAAGGACCAGTAGTAAGGCTGTTGCATTAAGCCATTTAGCATTCTTTCTTTTGCCCTTCTTTTACAAGTTACTCAGAGCTGTGAAATGCCTGCCCTGACACCAGCAGTACACTGCAGCCCAGCCAGACAGGAACTAACACCTCACAGCTGCTCCTCCCAGAGCAGTCATTCTGCTACAGAGAATGTGCCATCTGAGGGGCACAGCTGTCATCACAGAATCAGGAATGTTACATAACACCAACTGACTGAGAGCTATACACACTCTAAATACACTGATGCCATAATGTATGTAGATGCATTGAGCTTTGAATACAAGGTGAAATACACCTGGAGAGCCATTGAGCTCAGGCATGAGGTACCACTGTCACTTGTTGGCTGGTCCTGTGTGTGGGGAGACAAGATCATAAGATGCCTTTCCTCCCATGCAGGAATGCTCTTGATTTTGTGGGAGCGTGCTGGCTCAGTTCTCTCAGGGCAAGAGCCTTGTAGCTTAGCCCTGATCAGCCACGATACAAAATAACTCAAACTTTCATCACTCACACAGAATCTGATCATGTCAGGGTATTTCTATCCCAGCAGCAGTTCAGGCAACTTGAACTGGGGCTGAAGGGGCTGCCCCTCTTCCTCTCAGCATCCATACCCAGTCTTTGGAAAATAATCTACCAGCCAAGTTGGAATAGTTTCCTTGTCTGCCTTCTGGGGATCCCAGAAGCCCAGTCCAGGACTGCAGGGGACATGGCCACTCTGTGGCATGTTATGCTGATGGACTCTGGTAGTTGGACACTTAGTACACTTAGGCTGGCTCTTGGAGGTCACAGTTAAACAGGGAACTTCTAGGCAGTAGTGCTTAGAAATAAAAATTACTTAGTAAGTATTTTCAACTGCACTGTAGTTTCCCAGAAAGCATGTATCAAAGCTGCCACTGAGTCACACGTATATGGCAGTGAGCAGGCAAGTGGCTGCAGGAGCTACGTAAAGTCAATGAAACCCACTCAAAATAATTCTGAAGTCCCACAGTATCTCTGTTTTCATATCAGAGAAGTTCTTACATTATGCAGAAATTCCTTTCAAGCCTTTTAAAGGTGCTCAACAAAAAGCAAAGGACTTAGCCCCCTTTCCTACATACTGTGTGTTTATACACATCCCTTTTTTTTTGAGTTTAGAGCTACCTCTCCTGTATCAGTGTGGAAATAATCAGAGTGAAGTTGAGGTCATGCAGTTGAGCTTTGTTGCTGTGGCTCCATTGCTGGCTGCAGCTTTAACTCTGTCACAACGCTGTGGTTGCTCTGTCACTCTCCAGATAAAATGTTTTGGCATCTGGCAAAGGCAGACTGCAAATAACACTTCAAACAGAACTGTAGCTGCTCTTATGACATTGATCCATCTCCAGCTCCCTTGTCCAAGTCTCAAGTCTTTATGTGAGTTGCTGTTGGTCCTAGGGTTAATGCTCTTTGTCCCTTCTTGTGGCCTGTGAAACCATCACAGGGAAGTCGAATTAGGATACATGAGAAATAGAGATGCTGACGCTACAAATGTGTCTGGCATGCAGAGCAAGACAAGCACGTCTCTTGCCTTTCTGGTCAGTGTTTATTGATAAAAATTTAAGAGCACTAGCCACAAAGTCTTCAGAGATATGTAATCTGAAGATTGACAGTACTCCTTTGTGGACTGGCACTGTCTTGTTAGCCTCTTCGTGTTTCTCAGTGGTATACTGAGATAAAACTGAAAACAGTCCCTGTTCATTCTTAATGTGGAAACAAAAGAGAAGCATGTTACCTAAAAAGAGAATAGGTGGGTAATTTAAGTGCTCCGTAACTTTGTCAGAAGAGACTAAACTTTTGCATATTTTCCTGTTTTCAGACACCATCCCAGAGGACTTTCAAGAATTTCAAGCGCAGCAATTTGGTGTTGGGGATATTTAAAAAGTAAAAGCAAACTAACATTGCTATTGCAAACAGTAAAACAATATATTTTAAATCCTTATATGATTTTTGTTGTCAGAATGCACACCGCAGCTTTGTTCTCATTGATGTGACTATGTCAGACTTTTTTTTTTTTTGTAAAAAAGTGAAAATAAAAAGAAGACAAAATATACTTGGGCCTCACGTCTTTTCAAATTTGCCCTAAAATCTAGAGAGCAGCATATAAATGGAGGGGACAACTTGCTTAAAACACACTCAAGGAAAGTTTGAATCTATTGCTTTTTTTGGATTCAGTATTAAGCAGGGTAGGGAAGAAAGTGGAATTTTCTCCACCTTGAAAGTGTTATAAACAACAGGTTGCATCTGGTAATGAAGTGGTTTGGAGCTGTTTGGCTGAGCCACATAGTACCTGTCCAGTCCTCCTAGGAATAGGTTGTATCT